GAAAAAAAAAAAAAAAAAAAAAAAAAAAAAAAAAAGAGTCCAGACCAAGGTGAGTGGATTTGGGTACTTTCAGGGATAGAAAGTAAGATTTTTGGGTGGAGCACAGACAGCAGATCCAAATATCACTGACAGCCATTTCAGCAGCCCAAAAGCAACTGAAAAAAATTTACTTGTTTTTCTTAAACTCTATAAGGGAAATCTATAGATCATAGCCATGCTTTCTAAAATTGCTTTTCTCTCTCATCCACTTTTCTCCTTTCTCCAGCATGGAAAATGCACCCATGCCTTGCCTTTCTTTCTCCTACCTACCCTTCTTCCCTCTCTTAAGCAAACAAGTAAAGAATTTCCTACCAACCAAGTCAGCTCACCTATTAGGCTCCCCGCTTTCCACAAAAGTAAGTCCCCAAAGGATGGTGGAAAGCAAACCCAGAATTCTGTTTGGAGGGCTGAAGGAGAGGAAAGCCTAGGAAATCTTGCAGGACAACTATTTTTCTCCTGCCACAGGGGCTCTTCTCAAACCAGAATCTAAAAGAAAAAGAGAGGAAAGAAAATGTCCCCGAGGCAAGTCCTGCTTAGAGGTGACCCCAGTACCTCACATGGAAAGCTTCTACCTCCCACTTCCTTTTTGGGTCATCTCTCTCCTAAGGAGGAGACCCCAGCCCTACCTGTCTATGCTGATGGCGCAGAGGTTCAGGATGCTGGCTGTACACATCATGACATCCAGGGTGACAAAAACATCACAGCAAATGCGGCTGAAATTCCAGATTCCACCTGTCACCTGGATATGGAAGACAAGATGGATGTTAGTGTTTCTCCTAGCAAAGGGAAAAAAAACCCCAATAACCATTCTGCCTTCCCTATGCAGCTCAGCATAGACACAGACGCACTCTTTCTCCTCCTGTGTTTCCACAGGGCAGATGGATATGGAGGGAAGGCCAGGATGTCTGGGACTTATTGCTAAAAAAAAAAGGACAAATTTACACTTGTGGTGCTGGAAGGGATCTTCCAAATCAATTAGTGCAGGGTTTCTCAGAGTGGTCCACAGTGGGAGTATTCACTAAAGATGAGATTGCTGAATCCTCTGCTGACTGAAAGTCAGAACCTGTGAATCAGGGGCCCATAAATCTCCATTTAAAAATAAACACCCCTATACATACTGAGGTTTGAGATTACTGATCTAGTTCAAACTCGGGGATGCTCCTTGTGACTGAGTGATATGCCTGCAGATGAATATTGGTCCACAGATGCACAGCTGGTAGTAAAAGAGTTTGGGTGACTGCCCAATATGTGTTTTGTGCCAAAAGTGCCTCTCTGAAGCCCTCCAACCAGTAGAAAGCTCACCGTTTACCCAGGAAATAAACTAAGAACACATTTCTCCTAAAACATAACTTCAAAGGAAAAAAGTCTATCTGGCTTCATGTTTTAAACCTTGAAAAAAAACTTGAAGTAACATCTATAAGAACTTATATAAAACAAGTCTGCGCCAGTGTGACTGCGTTTGATCCCTTGCCTACCATGTCCCAGTCACCAAGAGGTCAGGGAAAGGTTGTGTCCAGGGGTTTGAAGAGGAGCCTGAGTTTTCTGCTAGTCTAAGAATGAGTGAGTCTGGCCCTGACCTCTCGCCTTGACCCATGTGTTCCAAGCTCTATCACTTCCTCTGAGTAACATTTATACAATTCAGGGAATATAAGGAATTCAGGGAACTGAATTTACATTCTGGAACATTTCTGTTTTATTTCATAACCTAATTGGACCAGGAAGGTGGGTCAGAGAAATTGTCACTTTTCAGAATGTCCACAGACTTCCACTCCTGGGCCCTGAGGCTTGGGGCATCTGTCAGCCTCCTGCCTCTGGGGCTGCCATTCTGGGAGACGCTGTCTTTCAGAGAAACCTGAGCTCTGTGACTCAGGCAGTGGCTGTGTATTCTTGATATCTCTCTTGAGCAGGCGCAGTGGCTATTTCAGAAGAAGAAGAATGGAAAATAGGCACTGTAGCCTCTGAGGTAGCTTCTCATGTAAAACAGATATTGACCAAATGAGCAAAGGACAGTGCTACTCAGAGGCCCAGTTTTTCTCATCCAAGACACCTGTGAGATGACCAGCTGTTCATTCCTGCTCTAGTCCAATAAAGCAGGGACCTGGAAGGCTGTCTCTTCTCTTCCCATAACAACACCTTTCCTTGGTTTTATTTCCTTTTCAGCCTCACATTTTATATCTATATTTGGTCATCTCCAGCCCCTATTTTGAGAAGTGCTGACCAAAGTTTTTTTTTGTTTAAAAGCAATAACAAAAAGTTAAAACAAGTGAAGAAGCCATAATTTTTGTTCGCCTGGTTGTGGGTTTACTTTCTTTTAGTTCAAACATTTGGCTCTATAAAAACAAAGGCCTAAAATTAACTTATAGGAATTTTGAGAATGAAAAGCTTTAAAAAGGAGATATAAGTAATCTGATCTAAACAGTCATAATCACAATGATTTACAGGAGACAAGAGAATGAAAGATGATTTTGCTTATTATTACATGGGATTATTGTGTGTTATAAATTCTCCCCAAAGTGGAATTCTATATACTAAATTTCATTTCAGCATGTGTGTACTATGCAACTATTTCTTAAATTGGGGACAAACTGCTTTTTATTGTATAATTGTGAGTGAGAGTGTTGGGGGTAGTAGAGGTGAGAGAGGATAGTTAGGACAATAGCCAACCCTGGTGCTTGCTGGGTGCTGATTCATTCATTCATGCACTCAGAAAGCAAGTACTTGTAAAGCTCCCAATACTCAGTCCATAAAAGGAGAGTACATTATGTGTGTTAAGAGGTTTTACAAAAAGTGCTTGCAGGGTCTACCCTTGAAGATGTCACAAAATAACCAGAGAAGCAAGGCATTTCTGAATACAATAAAGGTCAGTGTGAGAGCCTGATGTTGTTAATACAAACTAACATTTATTGAAAATCTACTCTATATGGGTCACCCACCTAGCTGACCCATTTCAGGAATTTCTATAACTTTGAAACTTCAGATTTTGAAAACTGAATTTATTTTTTGCTGTATGTGCTCTTAGAGTTTTTGAGTGTCTATGTCTAATTTGATTGCAGATTAAATGACTGGTACTTAGCCACCTGGATAATAGCAAGGACATTCACTTGTTTGCTTCAAGGGAGCTCAGGCTTGCAAGTATATCTGAAAGACTAAATGGTGCCTGATACACTCTGCATTGTATTAATAGCTAACATCTATTGAACGGTTACTAAATGTCTGGTGTCATGCTAAGCACTTTACATACATGGCCTCAAATGCTGATTATAATCCCATGAGAGGTCTCTGAAGAAATTGCATCTTAAAGATTCAACAGATTGTCCTTGGCCGAGTGACTGTGACTGTGGAGAGCTGGAATATTGCAGGTTGAGACCAAAATTATCTTGGGCTATCCTTAGGCCCTTTAGAAAAATAGCCATTTACTTTTAACTTTGCATTGGACCTAATATTCTCATAACTATTAGGTAAAGGTCTTGGAATGCATCACTAAACTTAGAAGACTTCTAGCCTCCATCAGCCCTAAAGGTAAGAAGCTTGTATAAAATTCAAAAACTATATAATGGATCTAGAAGAGATTTTCCCACTTGGCTGTAGCCTGCCTACCTGATTCCCTCACCAATGAATTTATTCAGTGTTTTGATTTATGGCCTTCTTTGTTGAATGCTGTAAAATCCCCATAACCTCTTCCATGGCAGAATGTGTCATTCAGGGGAAACTTGAATCCAAGTTCTTCAGCCATGGTCACTCATTTTTGGCTTGGAATAAATTATTTCCTTCTTTTCTTTAAAGCAGAATTGTTATTTTTACATTGACAGGATTATCATTATCCTCATTACAGAGAATGAAATGAAAACTTAGAAAGGTTAGTGCATTACCAAAGGTCACATTGGAGGCTAGCGGAGGCACAAGCACTAGAATGTAGATTGTCTGTGCCTGCTATGGGAGGCATCAAGTAAAGAAAGGCAGCTACTGAAAGGGATAGGAGTGGGCAGACACCAGGGGAAAGGAGACAATTTGGTGGTCCTCAGAAGTTTTTGTGTATAGACTATATCATTTCCTTACTAGAGAATGAGAACTCACCTGGTTGCCTTTATCCCAGGGTTGCATAAAACAGAGCAGAAGGCAATAAGGGCTGCTGCCTTTGGGGCCTAAGAGAAAGAACACTCAGGGCAGATTTCTTTACTACCCCGGTTTGGCCCTTAGGGGCCAAAGCCTTGGAGCTGTCCTCTGAATTCTAGACACCCACTGGAAGGCAGCTGCATTCTCTCAGTCCTCTTTGCCTGTCTCCAGAATCTGCCATCAAAATTCCAATTTTTCTCCTTGATCTAGTTGAGTGTCAAGAAGAAAACAACCTGATTAGCTGATTAAAGTAATTCCCACTAAGGTGCCATCACTTAGCCGTCCCTGGAGCTTACTCATTAAAATGATTCTCTAATTGCTGGGACTTGTAATGGAAATGTTAAAGTGTTCATTTCTTATATACAAATATATATATTTCAAGTGCAAATATATAAATATTTTAACATATACTTATGTATAAAATACATATGCTATGTATTTTTGGTGCACCCCTCCACACCATGTAAATAATAGTAAGGGACCAATAAAGAGCAGCAAAATGCCAAGAACATGCCGAGTAACCCTCACACGTAGTCTCACAGCTACCCTGTGAGGTAAATAAGATTTCTAACTTATAGGGAAATGGAAACATAGGGGTTATTTGGCTGAAGACAGATAGTTAGCAAAAGATGCTGGGTTTAAAACCCTTTAACATCAACCATTAGTCTGTCTCTCAAAGGTCAGCATCTTGGCCCACCATTTCTGCGAAGAATAGAATTTAACTCCATTCTAGTATCATAGGCGGCAGAAGAGATGACATTTGTCCATACGTTTACCTATATCTTGTTATTTATTGAGTGTCCATTACATGCCTGGTATTTGGCTTGAGTGGGTGTGGTGAAATGAATTATAAACCTACTTTTGTTCATAGGGCCTCAGTATACTGTGTGTGTGTGTGTGTGTGTGAGTGTGTGTGTGATGGAATTGAGGACCCAGAAGATAGATACTAAGAAAATAACTATGATATAATGTGGTAAGTGCTGACAGTAAGATAAGTACAAAGTGTGGGAGATCATGAAAGGTAAAGTGATTTTTGAAATTAAAGCAGAAAAAAAGTAAAAAAAGAAAGCTGATTGATTTAAGCTCTTTAGAGACATAATTCTTTCTCCCAAATTCTAATGAATAACTCACTTCAGAATTATAGGCAGACAGGTGGTGTTACTCTCACTTGCTAATGAATGTAACTCCCTTTGGCGATACAGAAGGTGGGAGTAAGCAAGAAAGTGTCTTCAGGTACTGAAGTTGGCTATTGATTTTTCACAGACACAGCCTAAGGCAGCATTTCCCAAATTTACTGATTATAAAACAGCATTTCCCAAATTACCTGAGGCTCTTGTTTAACAAACGACTCTCAGTCCCCACTCCAAATAGTAAGACCCTTAAGTGATTCTTATTGCTTGGGAGGTTTGGAAAACATTGGTCTGGAATGGCGTGACATAATCTTCAAACATGTCTTAAACTGGGCTCCTTAAGCATTCTTTATGCCATGGATCTCTGGCTTTATGGTCCCCTTTCCAGAGGAATGTTTTGAAATGCATAAGGCCAAAAATAAAAACAAACAAACAAAAAACAATGGGTCACAAAGGATACAAATTATATGCAAATATAGTTACCAAAGTTTTAAAA